GTTGGTGCTATTTTAAAGAAGAAAGGTTGAAATTTATCTTAAAACATTTGGGTAATTTAAACAATTTAAATGAAAACAATATTAATTTAGTTAACATCAAAATTACAGTCATTAATCAATGCCATTTTCTGACACCTTTTGTCAAGTGATAAGAAACTTATTTAAACATTTTTTAAAAATTAAAATAAAAATGTCTATGTCTTGTTAAAGCAGAAACTGTTAATTTGATGAATTGTGAACAAGAATAAACCAAAATTACTTAGAAGTGTATTTTCTCACATTAAAATTAGTTCACATCACATTCACCGGTGATTGGTGGGGAGGCAAATAATTTTCCAGGGGCAGAGACTTAGTTTCTTCTTTTTCCTCTCCACCTTGGTGATTAGCCTGCATGCCCTGGTTCTCAAGTTATCCTTCACCACTGATGCACATTAACAAATATAGAATTGATTGATTGATTTGTTTTCTTTATGGCTTATCAACCCTTTGGGAGTTGTTTAAAACCGAAACACATTTTGGATTGTAAGAATAATTTTTTTTTTGCAAGTAAATATTACATTAATAATTTTTCCAGATGCAAGTTGTACTATTTAACCCATTGCTGGGGGGGGAATGGATTCCCAAAGGTATTTGTGTATAAGTGAATGTGACTAACCCAAGTGGAATTTGAACTTGACTCTCTGATTTCTTATTCTGAGTCACTATACACTACCCAGATAAAGGGTTCATTAATTGATTTGTTATCTGTGGCTCATCAACCATTTGTAGGTTACTTAAAGTTAAAATATATTTTTAGATTTTTTATTTTTAGATAATAATGATTTAGTGATACAAGCTTTAATAGCAGTGTCAAGGGAAAACAGTCCTTTTGATAAACTGTTTTTTTTTTCACCCCTGAAGGTCCAAGATTGCCTTATTTCCTTTACCTATCTTATTGTTAAAAATGCAATAATGAATAAAATAAAATAAAAATATTTCTTAAATCTCCTGAAAAGTATCATCTGCTGATCATCACCTTAACACCTCATTAGCATTAACACCAGGATTCTTAAGGGCAGGTAAATCAGCTAACTTAATTTCTGAATCTAGATACTTGGATAAGTGAAATAAAAGATCAAAGACCCAGTACAAAAGCAAAGAACAATCCCAAGAGCACTCCCTGCATTCCTTGACCACTTACCGACCTCAATATAAACCCAGGAAAAATAGGGCTCCAAAGTCAGTCTCCTCTACCTTTTTTCAACAGAAAGTGGGACAGGCTGGTCCACTACACTCTAACCATCAAAGAACTAATCATGGTAACTGTTTCATTCTCTCTCTGTTCCACTATGCCACAAGCTATAATTCTGTCTCATAAGAAGGATACAATTTGTATTCATAAAAAAGAAAATAACATTTCCTAAGAATTCATTCATTTTGAATGTAAAGGCCAACTTTCTGTGCCAATTTTTGCAAATACATTTCTGAGATTAATTTTTACCTAAAAAGTCATGTGGGGATGTAAGTATTTATTGAGCTTATCTTCATCTGGCACAAAACCACAAAAATATGAGCTATAGTGTGTTAAAGTACATAAGTGAGCCTGTAAGACTCCAAACAAAATTTTTAAAGAAGCCAAATTTCATCATAAGCCTTTACCCCTCAGTTGACATGCATAATATGAATAGGGAACTAAGTAACAGAAGATATAACTCACCAAACCAGCAAAAGAAAAGGAATGATGAAAGGACTCTCTGTGAATGACTTACATGTGTGTTGTTAGAATTTTTTAGCACATATATCTGCTGTCATAAACTCAGTCAAGATGCAACAAATAACTTTGAAACCAGCTAGGATTAGCTCTTTATATAAAATTTATTTTTTGTAAACAATCAAGTTAATTTTCACTTATGTATCTTTGAATACATCTTTTTTATGCCTTCTTTTGCTAACATTCTATCTTCTTGCAATTGATGTTTAGTCCTTTGTTCATGCTTTCCTTTACTACCTTCTGTAGGTGTTCTTGTAGTTTCCTTTCTGTGTCTGCTATTAACACCATGTCCTCTGCATTTTCTTAAGATTGTGGCTGCCAATAATGAATTCTGGTAGGACTAGTAATTCTCTCAGAATTGCCTCACTGAATAAGCCTGGTGGGAAAATACATTCTTATCTTACAACCCTTTCTATTTTTGTATCTTTACTCAATTCATTTTCTATCTATATGCAGATGGTTTGCTGCTAGTATAGATTCTTGATTATTCTAATATCCTTCCAAAATATGTAATATTAATAATAGTAACATTAGTTGATAGTGGACACACCAAAGTTTCTTTGAGCAAGGAAGTATAAGATTGGACATACAAACATTTAATAACAACACTTTTTAATGGCTTAGAAAACTAAATAGAAATTATACAAAAGCAGTGCCTGAAGGTCTGTCGGATTTTTTTTATGCCGACAGATTGGGGGGGGGGAACTTGGACAGTTAAGCAACTCAGAAACGTTGTACTTGAAACTCGATGTGAAAGGAGGAAAAAAGATAGAACTCTTGCTTGTTATAGCAGCACTTCACAGCCTCCCGAGATATGGTTTGAGATTGCAACAAACTGTCTCATTGCTTACAAGCAACATCTACCTTGTAATAGTAACAGTAGTGTAGCACTATAACAGACTAACATTCTTAATGAAATAACTATAATAACTCTCTGGAGGATGAAAGGGATTTCCTTTATAGCTTTCCAGATGATCTCACTTAAATGTATTGTAGTCTCATCCATCCAATCAGATAGGATTTACTAGAACAGCAAACATAAAAAAAACTGGTTGACAAAGAAAAAACAGATTCCTTGCTTTTTGACCTTGACTGAGCACCACACAACTGTTTGAATTCCATCGTTTCCCCCCTCAACATCGAGCTTCTTGGTGAGTACAAGTTACAATAGTGTGTCTATAGAGATATCCATATTCATATGTATGTGTGCTCAAAGTTCAATTAAAGATATTGTTGTGGAGTGATTTTGCAGTGGAGGCTTGTGTTTGTACTAAGTTGGTCCTAAAATAGGTTTGACACACAAAACATTAGGAACTTGATATAATAGGTATAACGCAGAGTAATCTAGTTGTGGTCACTGATACTTTAGTATTCGACTAACTGTCGTCCGACATCGACTGACTCATTACTCTTACTGCTCCTACTTATTATAGGTGGGAGAGTCTATTAACTATAGAATAGGTGTGTTGCACCATAACAGATATTGAGAGACTTACATTTGAGAAGTGATCTTCGTTGAATTTAGTACATTTGTATGTAGTCAAATAAGTTTTGAGCCTTGTAGTTATATTCTGTTGCAAATTAGATCACTTTTTGATTCACTCTACACCTCAGCTGGATGTGAACATTAAGAAAGCAAAACTTAAATAAAAAAGTTGTCTCATGTGCAGGGGCTCCATGTATAAAATCCATCCCACAAAATAAATCTCTGCAAAAATCTAAAAAATAGCATAAAATAAAACAACTATGAATGTTGCTGCCAAAGAAAAAACATGAACAAAAGATGAGCTTAGAAGCCTCTACAATCTGTTTTTAAGAAGGCCGCTTATGGATGACAGAGCAGGGCTGGTAGGTCAGCTGTCATTCTGCCCAACAGGATCTTAACATTGCCATCATAGCTTTGGTCAACTGACCTGACACAGATATTCATTCAAGACCCACCCTCCTCAAAACACCCACACCATGCCCACAGAGACTTTCTGTTTGTATCCTCCATATTGGCAAAGTCAGATTCACGGCTTCACTGATCCATTCCAGGCCTCTCTTGACATCACCACTGTGATCTCAGTCAACCGAACTGATAAATCAGTCCCACATGCACAACTTTGTGGCAAGAGTGGGTTGGGGATAAAAAAAAACAATAACACCATTAAAACTTCCCCAAATGAAAAGGTCCAGAATGATGAGGATATTTCATCATTCTAAAAATGACCTTGTCATCAGTAATGAGAGGAAAGAAGGATATTTCATCATCCTAACCCTCATCATTATAAAAACGACCCTTTCACCACAAGAGAGTCAGTAGAGTGGTATGGGCTAGGGTAACCATAGTAGTAGTCAGTAGAAGAGTAGACAGGTAGCAGTACAAGAACACATGTCTGTCAGCACTCTGGGAAGATCAAAAACAGATGATTTAAAACGCCATCCTCACGTACGAAATTATATTGAAACAAAACCAAGTAAGCACTGACTTTTAAACAAAAGAGATACTGAGAACATTTTTAGTTTTTCACACACCATACCAATAATTCACATCACAAAAAGAAAATACAAATTCTTGCTATTTATGTCAACTCAACACGTGTCTCAAGTTTTTATTGTTGTTATTTTGTATGTTTATGCATTTTAATTTCTGTCATTTAAATCCATTACACTCACTCAACAAACAATAACAACGGAGATAATACTAACACGAACACCCAACCAACATTACCTACACTTTGACTTACAAATTTACAAATATTTGCCATAAGAAAACCAAGAAAAAATAATGGCTAAAAATGAAAGAAGAGGGAGACTTTATATTCTATTTTTATACTACTTTTCTGTGCTAAGGCTATAGTGGATGATTGAATAACAAAATGGGAAAAAAAATTTACGTTACAATACATGTTTTCGTATTTCGAAAGTTTCGATTTTGTCACTCGGTAACTATTATTCAGTCTTGCTTCTTCCTAGACTGGCCGCCACTCTAGGATTGTGAGTCCATTCTTTTTAATTAGTGCGAAAGCGAATGCAACAGGAAAGGACGGAATCTGAACTCGGTTCGTCGATAACCCTTTTTATACTATCCGCTTCGGCTTATCCTTTTAATTTTCATTTTTAGTGGGAATAAAATTATCGTATACAACTTTTTACGGCTTACACCGGACACTTCTAAGTTTTTCTTAACACCGGTGCATCGTATTGTGTTGCCTGTTTGTTGTTGTGTAATTAAAAGAAGACTTGTTTATTTGCGGTTGCTACTACAATGCCTTTGATTATTTATGGAAAGCCTTTGGGGAGTACCATACCAAAGCCTTTCCGAGAACTTTGGGAAATCTGTCCAAAATTAAAGGTAATTGTTTAAATTTATTTTTTATCGCTTTGATTTTCACTACTAGATGAAAACAAAAAATAAGATTTTTATGAAAGTTCTTCTTAACATTTGAGAATAAAAGAAGGAAAAGATAGTTAAATGATAAATGTTTTTTTTTTGTTTTAATTGATTCATTAACCGGACGAGGATGTCTCTCTAAACTTAAATTGTTCGAAATTATGACGTATTTCTTATTTGGCATCATCAGTTATCAAGGTTCGAGCCCAGACTAAAAAATAGTTTCACATTTCTATTTCCTCTGTAGAAAGGGCAGTAAATTTGCAGATAATGCTCTAGCGACCAATTAAAAAAATGCATTATCCCTGGTTTAAAAACCCTGATTAGCATTTAAAAATTGAGGTAACTCTACCGTTTATTCATTGTCAATCTTCTTAGTTCTGTGTCGGATACAGCCTGGCCGCGTTAAACCAAGATCTGTGAAGGCGCTCGGTATGGTGAGTATTGACTTCAGGAATAAATCGAGCAACATATTGCTTCAGGTAAACAGTTTTTATTCCTGGTCGGATAACAAGATCCTTTAAACTCCTCCACATCCTTTCAGCATCTGTGCGTTCCATGAGTAAACTTTCGCGCAGTAATGGAGGCCAGGCTGTACCCCGAACCAAAAAGATTGGCAATCTCTCAAACGGTAAAGTTTTCTCAATTTTTAATGCTATTTTTGTAATAAACGAGCTGTTTTTAATGCATCTTGTATAAATTGGTCACTGGGACACTATCTGCAAATTTACCGAAAGGACTCCCTATTTGGAAGACTGCCATCAACAAATTCTCCCTTTCATTATGTTCTCTATTACGTCTTCTGCTCCAAGTCTGTGTGCATGATCTTCATTGAGGTTTTTTTTTTTACCAGATCTCAAGTAAATAACTGAAATTTTAAGTTCGTGTTAAAAAAATAAACACACTGAAATTGATACAATAATTAATTTAAATTAAAAACTTTGTATTTATTTTTATATATTCGTAGCTAAATTTGTTATTTTAAAAATATGACAGTGTTTTTTTTTTTAGTTACTTTTAGTTTTTTATTGACTGTAACACTTCTTCACAGGATTTGTATGTGAAACTTTTACATAAAAATTCGAATTTTATGGACTTAACAAAAATAAATAAAAGTGAAATTAATAAATAAAACAACCAGACATTTGGAAACTTGTAACGTTTTTTATGCATAAAGTACGCCACAAAGATATGCTGGAACTGCTCAGCAACTTTGACATATGTCGGAAGGATATTAATTAGTAGAATAATCAAGCAAGAAGCTATACTGGAGGCAAACCGCCTGCATATGGATAGAAATTAGTTCAGCAGAAATAGACAGGAGTGTAAGACAAGGATCTTTGTGTTGAGTAGGAAATAATAATAACTTTTTTTTTACCCACGTCCTTCAAATTCGGGCAAGCTGAGAAAAAGACTGTAGAGGACCGTGTGGGTTTGAGTATTGTTGAATCAGGAACATGTGCTGTTTATTCCTGCTAGAAGGTCCAACTACAAGAAAATGGTGGACTCAAGTTGAGTCCAACCGAAGATGCAAAGAAAACAAACAAGGTTACAAGACTGATATATGTCAACAAATATATGTATTAAACAACAAATTTACAAGTCACAAGACATTAACATTTGTGCTTGTGTGTGAACGTAAAGAGTTTGTATTTTGGTGAATATTTGTACTTACGTGTATGTGTTTCAAAGCGTTTTCCCACAAGTGGGCGAAACGTGAATTTCTACAAGAGATTACATTTTTAAATGTGTCTGCTGAAATGCAAAGTAGAAAAGAGAAAGAGGCAAGAAGTTGCCCAGTATTTATAGTGTAGGGAGAGTGTCCCCTAGTGAACAATTAGGGAATTAAGGAGGAGGTAACTCCGAAAAGACGAAAACAAATTCATGAGCCCGTGTGAAGTTTTCTTTGGACCAATGAAAACCTTGTTTTCACAGGAATTAGCCATTGAGCCTAGAAAAAGAAAGAAAAGAAAATAGCGAGCCTACGAGAAATCCTTTTTGATAAAAGAAAAAAATTAAATTAACAAGAAAAGAGTGTCTGAAGTCATGTGAAAAGTTTTGTTTCTGTTCACGCATCCAGCATTTAGATTTTTGCCAGTGTCAAATTATCAATTATCGGCCTTAACCAAGCATTTGGCACTTTAAAGAATTTTATTTCAACAATCCAAGAAAGTATTTCAAATTATCTCTCTCTCTCTGTCTACTTTTAAATGTATGCAAGCATATCCCTTCTGTGAACAATGAACTCTCTTACCTTTGTTTTAATCATTTTTGAATATTACTTTGTGTCAGATCATTTGATCTATTGTTTCGAACATTTCCGCTTTACGACAATTCATCGAAAGTATGACTTTAAAAATTTCTAATTTATTTTTCTGAAATGAGCTACTGATACAATTTCAAGCATGTAAATTTGTAAATAAATTCCTTATCTTATTTTGTTAAAATTACCTGTGTGTTTCCTCATCATTATCTGTCTCCATTAATCTTCTTGGTGTAGGTAAATCAACTGTTCATTTTAACTCCTAAGCTTACACTATTATATCTCACCAGACTTATTCAACCTATACAGTGTGGTGATTCTGAGAGAATTAGAAGTCCTATGAAGATTCATTATTGATGGCCATAATCTTAACAACTGATGTAATGGAATAACCTGCTACCCCAATGAGTGGTGGTACTATAGGTAGTAATCACCTATAAGTATCTGTTAGGACAGCGGACAGCAGAGTTGCACTGGGATCTTTCTCAGCTGCGTTAGTTGAACTCTCTGCCCAAAGACAGAGAGGAACCCAGTTGAGGCTATGCCGAAGGGTAGAGTTTCATCCGAGGAGGTAGACAGACCCGATCCTGTTTATGCAGGGTCTACAGGGATTTTTTGAAACCCCACATTAAATTTGGCCTTGTGCCACATGTAACTGTGTGGGGCAGTTGCTAAATAGCGTTGAGCTGGGATCTGCGACAACTAGCGTCCTTCTGATAGCAGCCCGCACACAGCTGTACTGATTTGCAACGACCATGCACATAACTATTACATCCTTGCTTGTTCTACTGGTTTCTACAATAAACCTGTTACTATTTATCCACTGTGTTTGTCCATTCCATACTCCTATTAGCACAAAATATAACAACAATATAACATATGCAGATGACACAGTGTTGATAGCAGACACTGTATGAAAACTACAAAAATTCCTACAAAAGATAGTGAAGGAAAGTGAAAACATCATCTATAAGAAGGCAATGCATGGTTGTTAGTAAAAGGCAAATTACAAATCGGAGATAGCAAAATCAAATGAGTACAAAAATTTAAATATCTGGGAAGTATTTTAACAGAGGATGGAAAGTGTGAGACTGAAATCTGAAAGCGCATTGGGATAAGCAAAGAGCCTTCCAAAAGCTAAGCAGAGTATTAAGAGGCAGAAAAAAAATTGTTAGAAACAAAGAAAAGAATACTGAACTGTTACATGATATCTGTCCTTCTATATGGAAGTGAATGCTGGGAAATCTCCTTAAAGTTGAAGAAGAGACTTGAAGCAACAGAAATGTGGTTCTACAGAATAATGCCGTGAATACCATGGACTGAACAACAAAGTTTTAGAGAGAATGGAAACTATACTTAACATCAAGTTGAAATTTCTAGTGAACATAATGAGGAAAGAGGGTCTGGAAAATTTGATACTTACAGGACATATTGAAGGTAAGAGGAATAGAGAAAAATAATGGATAACCTACCTAGCATGCTTGAGTAAATAGATGGTGGAATATGGTTTAGGAGAGATAAAAAGACAAAATTTATTAAGAGCTACAAAGGACAGGAAATTGTGGAGAGCCATGATTGCCTATGTTCTGTTGTGAGCTATGTTCTTTAAATAAATATATGTAAAAAATAATCTGTGTGTTGAAATTCATTTCTTTTGAAAATGTTAAATTAATTTGTTTTGAAAGTCTTCATTCTAATGTGTTGTAAATCATCCTGTTACAAACTGGTGAGCAATGGTAACCACATTCATTATAAATCTGTAGCATCTCCCTCTTTGCTATAAGTCAATGTACCATAAAACTGCTTTTAACAGTCATGATTAATCTTTTCTCTTTATGAACAGGAAGCTTCTGAAAGACTTCGAGAAATTCCTACCAGAGAGCTTAATCCGAAAGGTTTGTTATACGTTGGTCAGAATGAATTTGCTGGTACTTCTCCGACTGATGGTAAGTTCTCTCTGACTTTCCAGGATGAGGAGTTATCATTATTCACATGGGGACTGTTGTCCTCATTTTTGTTGTTGTTATCAAAATGTTTCATCCATTGTGCTCTCTGGCCTTCTTTAATGACATGTAACCGGAGAACTGAGTTCAAATTTCAGTCAGGTTCATTAGAGTCACTAGTACCCTTGAGAAAGGCATGAATCCATCTTTCTTCCCCCAGCTATGGGTTGAATAGCAGGACACACTGGGTTCTTTAGCCTTGATTGGCAATCAGTTTACTGTAGAAAGAAATGGCAACCTACTGCAGGAAAAATCTGCCTCATCAGTCAGGTATGGAAAAATAGATGATCACCCAAGTATGTATCACTTATGGCACTTAACTGAATGAAATTATGAAACATTAAAAGAAGAACCATCGGTTAGGCTTTCTTTTAATGTTTCATAATTTCTTCATGTAGTGATCTTTAGTGTTCATTCTATAGTAATTGCCAGTTTTGTCTATTATATAAATATTTTATTCATTTTTCTTTTTTGAAGTGGAGAGTAATTGGCCATGGTTAAGTATAATTGGCAAACATACCCAACAAACAGAATTGACAGAGTTTATAATAAACAATAAGAAAAAAGAACAGGTAAAATAATACTAAGCAAACAATATACATGCAAGTCAAAAGTAGATAAAGCAATGGTGATAAGACAAAATGTTCCCAATGTAAGAATGGTGTTAACACACAAAAGGGACATAGATAAGTGATTATAGCATTCTGACTTCAAAACAAAAAGTACAAAAAAATATGGCAGATGAGACCAAGAAGTGGCCTATTTTATTGTTTAGGAAGATATCCCAGCATGCATCAGTATGAGTCATCTATAAATTTGGGGAGGAGGGTATTTTTAGCAGTCATTCCCCTAAGGATTGGAATCAATCATTTTATATTGCAAATCATCATTGTATTCAATGAATTTAAATTGATTTCTATGCAGATTATTGCACTCATCTTTGTTGTTGTCTTGTTTTAGCCATTGTATTGTACCTTCTGGTTTTCATCACCTTGATGAAAGCCAGAAGAGACAACAGTTGAAACATTGTGATAACAACAACAAAAATGAGAACAATATTCTTCATGTAAATAAAATAATTATTGTTGGTGTTTTTTTTTGTTTTTAAATCTTGTTTTGTTAGAATTCTCTAATTTGAAGCCTATGAGCTTTAGTCTACATTGTGTGAGTAGTCAAACAAATCAATTATTTAAAGATTAATTTTAATCCTGTACTTGCAAGATTAATCCTGTATTTGTCAGCAAAATATATAGAAGACTTTTTGTAAATTGATGGACATAAAATGCATCATATTTGTTAACTGATATATATAAGTCTGATATAGACCTGTATATAAGGCTTTTTCAAAAAAATAAAATGTTGAATGTCACCAATTCATGGAAAGTTGATGGGAAGTGAAAATCTGGCCTTGTAAAAATATTGAATTCATCCGCAAAGAAAAAGGAATGGTAAAAAAAGTAAGCAGATAAAGTGTAAATCCTAAATCCAAAACATAAATAAAGCAATTTCTGTTGCTTACTATCCAGCTTTGGTGATGACTGCACAACACTTTCCCCTCCATAATTTATAGGAAGAAGCACACAAATGCATGCTGGGATTTCTTCCTAACTAATAAAACAGGCCAGTTCTCAGTTTCATCTGATTCAGTCCTGGTCTGTCTCTTCTTGAAGTCAGAACGCTATGTTCGCTTCTACAAACTTGCTCTTGTGTGTCAACCCTAATTCTTAGTTTGTAAACTTTTTGCCATATTACTGTTGCTTTGTTTTATTACTGTTTATTTTTCCCTTGCATATATTGTTTGTCTGCTTTATATTATTTATTTGCCCTGTTCTTTTCTTTTTCTTGTTATTGCAAACTTTGTCAATTCTTTTTATTGGACAGTTCTGTTATTTATTTTACATTTACATTACACATGGCCACTCACTTATACAATTTCTGAAGAATTAATAGATTTCAATTGTTTTTTTTTTAATCTAACAAATTTCTTTTCTATTACTTTAAACATTATTTTTTAGTGGATACCTGTATTTGAGTAGATGCTTCTTTTTATTTTAAGCAGTATTTGCCTAATCTACTGGTATGCATACCTGTGAAAACTTATTAAAGAAAATGTTCCCTCTGGCAGAACTAATACCTGTGTCCCCTTTTACAGGAGAAATCCCTGTCTGATCCAGTGTTCTGCCTATTTTGTTATGTTCATATATATATATATATATATATATATATATATATATATATATATATATAATTTTTTTGCTGATCGTCATTGATGCATTTCTAGCAATATCAGTCAGCTGATATCTTATTAAATGGAAACAGCCAATTTGTCACAAAAACGGATTCAGACTTCACATGTACAGATCAAGTAGCTGGGACAACAAGAATCACTGAATGAAGATAAATTACTTTTTTGACAAAGATGACAAGACCAAGAACAATGTACTCTATAAGACAGTGACTACTGCCCGCAAAAAGTCAGAGAGATGATGAGGACCTACAGAGAACGATGTGAGAAGATGCCTGTTAGAATGTTCACATCCCCCTTCACCTATGATCATCTCAGTTTTCTATAGCAGTAGGTTACAACCTGAATATAAAATTCTGCATACTGCTACAGTCAGCTCATGGTTTTTATTTTGTGTGTAACGATCTGGCTGAAGGGTTATTTTAAGCTATTAATTTGAGGAGAAAAAGCTGCATATTGAGAATGAAACTTGTGTCTGATTTGAGCTGCAATGCTACACATTTTTAAGGAAGAAACTGTTATAGTTTTAGTTAGTATTAATTCTACTCTAATTTGTTAAAGAACTTTTATCTGTTAGAAGTCTATCTATCCAGAAGGTGGTTATTTCTTTTCTCATTGGAAAGACTTTATTATTATTTTAATTGAATCTCTACAGGTTATCACTGCTTTTTATCACAGTAATAATCAGATGGAGGAAAGTTAGTCCTGATATATGAGGGTGGATCAGTAAGTCCATAGCTATTAACAGAAATAAGACTTCACTGTATAATATTTGGTCTATGTGATTAATATTCATTACTAAACTAACCTTTTAGTGGCCATTGTTCCACTAGTGGAACATATTTTAATACAATGCCCAGTCATTAAATGGTTAAATGCATTGAAAAGAGATGAGATTATATAGAAAAAAATGCATATTTGTTGTGTAAAATAAATACATTTTTGGTAATTAGGTTTCAGATTTATTGAATTGCTTCAGTAATATTGATGAAAATGAACGCAACAATGAGAACATAGATAAAAACTGGTAATAAAATGAAAATAGTGAAAATGCTTCATTTCAAAAGCAACAATAATAAGATGGAGTAAAATCAATAAAATAATTATAATAATAAAAATGATTCCTTCAATCCTTTAGCTTTCAACACGCTCAAACCCACCCCATAAATATTGGCTCTTAAAGTCTCACTGTTAGTGTGACTTTTTGCATTATGGGCTGGGTTACGATGGGTTGAACATTGACAGCTGATATTTATGGTTCAGGTTGAATGCTAATGTGTTAAAAAGCAACAATAATAAGATGGAGTAAAACTAGTAATAAAATAATTCTTCATCTAAAAAGCAACGATAATAATTTGGATTAAAACTAGTAGTAAAATAATAATTGTTAAAATGCTATATTTTGAAAGTAAAAACATTTTTAAGATTTTGAATAGCTGCCTATTAATGATAATTTGATATAGAATGTGTAAATGAATGAATGGGTGGGAATAAAGTGAAAAAATCTTTTTGTTTTTCCTCTTCTAAAAATGAATTATCTGATGACCTGTTTTTCAGATTCAATATCTTACCTTGGGACAGACAGTGCAACAACATGCCACATTGCCGTACTTACAGAAACAGGTAAGCTATTTCCTTTGAAAACGACAGAGAAACTTTTTTCTTCTTAAATAATAAATTCTGCGAATAGAAGCAAAAATGGGGAAAATTGTGAAAATGGCCTGACAACCGCAGCAACCACTGGATGGGATGATAACATCAAAGATCCCTCTCTCTGTTGCATACTAGCGGAGATGCTAAGTAGAGTATGGGAACTGGATCCCGTTGGAGGAGACTGGTGCATGGGTGGTGATGAGATCACAGTTTGGGTGGATGCGAGTTCCGTGGCGACAGGAGTAGCATTGGAAGCGAACAGAAATGTCGAAGATGCGTGTTGGCTGCGTCCAACTAATGATGCCAGGCATATTAATTTAGAGGAACTCGATGTGGCGCTTAAAGGAGTCAATCTAGCCTTCCAGTGGGAGGCGACAACATTGCACTTGGTTACTGATTCGGTGTGTGTGCACTGGTGGATTTCTGACACCTGACCAGGAAGGCACGAGTGAACACAAGGGCGGCTAGCGAGATGTTGGTTAGGCGACGGCTGGGCATTATGCGATCGCTGGTGGAAGAATATGGATTGACCATAGATGTGACACTCGTACAGTCCTGTCAGAACCGTGTGGATTGCCTCACCAGAGTACCACGCAGGTGGGTAGATCTGCTCAAGAGAGGAGGACCGGCGCTTGAGAGCTGTGCAGTGGTAGGGAGACGACTGGACGAGGACCAGGTGGCCAATACCCATTGTCAAAGCGGACATCCGGGCATGAAACGAACTCTGTACTTCACCAGGTTAGTTGACCTGCAAGTGTCCAGAGAAAGCGTTAAATCCATTGTGAAGGCCTGCACAACCTATCAGTCGATCGGTCCGGCACCTGTTCACTGGGAAAGAGGAGAACTGAGCGTGAAGAGCAACTGGAGCAGACTAGCGATGGACATAACTCACTAAAATGGTGAGAATTTTCTAACGCTTATTGATTGCGGTCCCTCTAGGTTTGTGGTATGGTGGCCGGTGCGCCGACAAAATGTGAGCACCGTCATTCGACTGTTGGAGAATGTTTTCCTGGAGCGAGGCCCACCCATGGAAATACTAACTGACAACGATACTGCATTCACCAGTAAAGACTTTAAAAAATTTGCGGACAATTGGGACGTGCATCTGCGGTTTCGATGTGCCTACTCACCGAGTGGAAACGACATTGTAGAGCGAAACCACAGAACCATCAAGACCAGGAAGGGCTGTACAGTATCGGAGGTGGTTTACTGGTATAATGTCGCCCCGAAAGATAACGTTTCACCGTCCACAGCGCCAGCTGATGCACTGCACAAGTATCATGTCCGAGTGAAAGGCATTGAAGTCAATCCGCTGCCTGAACTAGAAGTGACCGGATGGAGATTGAAAAAACGAGATGTTGTTTGGGTCAAAACCCCATGCGGCAAGTGTATGACAAAATACGGCACTGGATGTGTTACAGAGGTGATTAGCCCGCAATCTGTGAGAGTTGATGTGGTGCCTTGTCACATTAAAGACTTGTGACTGGTGATGCAACCGCTACTGCTACTGAGCAATGAAAGTGATTCTGAGTCTGAGAGTAGTGAGCGTTCGATCTGCCTAGAGTTAAACCTGCAGGGCAGTGACTCTGATATCAGCAGCCTCCCAGCAGACACAGTGTTTACCGACACTCAAACCACAGACGAGAGCATGCATGAGGATGAAGCTTATGATGTCCCCCTTCAGAGGGGGACTCGATGGTGTCGATCACCACCTCCTTGCCCTGTTTGTGATCATGAGATCGGGGGGAATGTGGGGAAAATTGTGAAAATGGCCTAACTCGGAAACGCCCGTGAATCTGTGCATCGTGCAAACTCCGATTGCACAATGGTATAAAGAACCAAAATGGCAGTGCCCATGTTTTATGCTGGGTGGTCTCGGACAGTTAATGCGAAATCTCATTGTCTCGTCATTTGCATGCAAATTATGGTCAGTCCTCGGCTGTATAAAGCAGGCGTGTTTTTGTTTCTGAGGACTGAGTTTTTGCTCATGAGAAGGTTGGACGTGTGACACTATTTTGTCAGTTACCCTCCTCGTGTTTCCTATCTGCTATCATCAGTTGAGTTGTTGCTTTACCACCACACATTATTAAGAAAACTCTACTTCAGTTTTACTGTGACAAGTCAATATGTATTCGTGTGGCCTGAGTGGAAACAGATTTTTGATTAAGTTGTAAACATAAAAAAATGTTGATTTAATAGAAATGGCTAAAGACTTTTCATCATATATGCAAGATTCGGATTTTGATTATGAATGTATTCTTATGGCACATTGATTGGTATGGTCTTTTTATATGGATTCTCATTGGCCTTAATCATATATGCATGATTTGGATCTCATGATGCACTGATTTCTGTGAGGGGGAAGGGTTGAAAAATTCTTGTTGATATTTCAAAGAGGCTCATTTTGAGCAATGAAAAATATATGCTATTCCATATAGTTATTCTAACAGTTCACCATATTTGGCACATTTATTCTCAAGTCTCTTTAACCCTTCCAAACCAATTCTGATGTTTGGTCAGTGAAATTCTGCTCAGCTTCTGCTATCATTTCGGAATTATTTGAACATTTTCAAAATATCCATTGCCTTGGCCAACAGATGCATTGTCTTGCAAAAGTACACCACCTTTCCACAGCTTACATTATTGTTTCTTTGTCAATAACTTCTTTAATCAGCCCAGTAAGTTAGTGTAACATTCAGCATTAACTGCTTGGCTCTTCTGAAGATAGTCATGTTAACTGGGGCAAGGAATGGCTTGTAAATTTTAACACCTCCCAAACAAAACTGCTATCATTTAATTACCATAAAGAGTCTTTTCTGCCTTCCATTAGGAGAGTAACTCTTTGCACCTTCTTGGGCTCACATTTTCCACTGATATGAAGTGGGGTAATTATATTGAATCAATTGCTAGGTCGACTGCTATGAAAGTTAATTCACTGTGTCATATCAGAGACTTTTTCTCATCAGAATCTATCTTGCAAATTTATAAGTCTACCATTTGTCCATGTATTGAATACTGCTGCCATATCTGATCTGATGCTCCTACTATATATGTTTAAATTCTTGACAAAATTCAAAGAAGGGTCTGTAATGTAATTGATCTTAACCTTGTATCTCGACTTCAGTCATTTTCTCACTGCCATAATGTGGCTTTCTTCTGTCTTTTCTATAAATATTTTCATGGTAATTGTTCTGATGAGCTTTCCTTCTCTGTGTCTCAACTGCATGAATTTAAGCATACTACTTGATTGGCAATTAGGTCTCACTGTTTTACTTGCATGCCAGACCCTGTCAAATGCCTTCAAGATATCTAAAGCCACATCCAAAGGGTTATGGTGTCCCTGACCTGATATTTGACAATCCAATCAGCCTTAACAAATCAGATAATAAAAGTTGTGTTGAATGACCATGCTTCTAGTCATTTTACATTAATGTGAAGATCCCCTCAGAGCTTTATCCTTGTGCCTATATTGTTTCTTATCTTCATCGATGATATTCCCAATGTCATCATTTTTCAACTAGGTATTTATGCTGATGATGCAACTATTTACTCCATTCTTAATAGTAAGTCCATAATGGCTGACTAAGAAAAACTGGCAGCTGCTCTTGAAAACCACCTTCAATTAGTTGTTAACTGGAGTAATAAATGGCTTGTAAATTTTAACACCTCCAAAATAAAACTGCTATCCACTAATCATCATAGGGAACCATTTTTACCCTCCATCAACTTGGAGTTGTCTCGATGTTGTTTCTGGTTGGGATTCAAACATTTTGGCATTCACTTGATTAACAGTATCTGTCTACCCAACTGCTTATGAATTATAAGCTCAATGCAATCCTTTGATATCTGAAGTGTCTCAGCAAATTTTTGGTCAAAATTGTTTTGTCATCAAATACAGTAGGTATTCACTAACCCTCTAGCTGAAGTAGCTCTTGAGCCTTTTATTGGATGAACAATAGTACTTCTTCCAAAAAAAGTTTAAAAAATCTGTGATTTTTTTTGTTTTTTGTTTTCAGGTTCCGGTGCTACTTGCATTGGACATTTTGATGGTTCATTGACTTCAAAAGGTGTTCATGGGATGTTGCAAACAATTCTTGATATAGCAGACCCCATTGTTGGAAGGTAAGCTCTCTTGACAGCTCTTTGGCTTACAACCATATCATGTTGAAACATTGGTTCTCATCTGATCATCAAAGTTAAGCAATGTTAAGCCTGGTCACCTAGATGGGTGACTGCTAGGGAATACCAGGTGCTGTTAACTTGGATGTATGGGTGGTCTAATGGATAATGGTTTGGAATTGGAAATCAGCTGAGTACCAATTTCAGTTGGGCTTGTTATATTTGCTTACATACAAATACCCTATGGAAAAGTATGAATTCACCTCCCCTCATTCAGCTATGGGCTAAATAGTAGCACTTGTATAAGTAAATCATTATTATCCCCCTCAAAATTCTTACAATCCAAAAAATATTTTATGGTTTTAAATAACATGCAAAAGGTTGATAAGATGTAAAAATCAATCATCAATCAATTGATGGCTTTTTTAAAAATCTTTACTAAATGCACACACGTCTGTGGGTGTGTATCTAACTATGTTATATACCCTTGACTCGGATTTTGATTTTGAAAGTAACATTGCATTTTTAAGAGGCAAATAAGTAGAAATAAAAATGTAATTAAGTTAAATTTGATTAATCACTGACATAATTGCTGTCATTACTAGCCCATTGCAAAGGCAAATTTTTTCATTCCACACTTGTATGGATAAATACCATAATCCTTTATGTATAGATCACTAGGGAGTGTAAGACACAGTTAAAAAAGTGAACAAATTCTGTGGAAAAAAGCTTATATTCATGTATAAAACACATTTGATTTTAGGGCAAAGAAAATAACAAAAACTTGTGAAAAAATGAAGAAAATGTGTTCTTTTTTTTACTTTTATGATTTGTAAGAATAACAAAAGCATTAAAGTTGTTATCAAAGTTACGATGTTTGTGTCCATTGGTAGTTGCATAATTAAAAGAAAAAACTTGTAGTTCCAACGAATGAGTTATTTTTATGGAAATATTTTGACTAGCAGTTGCAAGTCTTGATTACTCCTTAATTTGAGTAAAAACATCTCTGCTCCAAAGAAACATATGATATGACAAAAAAAATAAAAAAGAATAAAAAAGGCAATTTATAGAGTAAAAAAACAAAAATCTTTTGTTTTCAACTTGCTATTACGTTGTAAACATCATCAACTCGGATTGTTTTCTTTGATTTGAATTCTTAAGTGTTTCAAGCTTCTTTGGACTATTTTTACTCAAATTAAGGAGTGACCAAGACTGGCAACTGCTAGGTGAAATATTTCCATAAAAGTAAATCCTTCGTTGGAACTACAAGTTTTTTCTTTTAATTATATTAAAGTTGGTTAATTGATTGTTTACAAAACTTGCTAAAAGTATTTCTTGTGAAATGGTCATTAGTTGCCTTTCAATAAAAAAAATTGTTTTTAATGATTTTTATTTTGAAATTATGCATCATTTTGTATTTTTTTTTTATCGTAAATTAATATTTTTATCTTTGAATGATTTCCAAATTTGCGTATGTGTCTACATTCAACAAAAATCTGGAAAAAGTATAGAATCATTAGAGAAACTGTATGAAAGATTTATCTCCCTTTGTTGCAATACGCTATTAGATAGATATTATCTCTCCAGTGAAAATATAGATCCAATTTGACTTGATTTTATATGTTTTGAGTCCTGGAAAAAATAGGATTGAGTTCTAAACTAAAGTACAAGACATAACAGACTTTTGGACACAGTTTTTAGATTATGTTACTTCTTTTTTATACCCATCCCCCCCCCAAAAAAAAACAAAGCCAAGAGGCCTGAATTGATGTCTTCCTTTTTTGGAATATCCGTACTAAAAAATGTCCTAGAAATATTATGGCACAATGTGTAAGGTTTACAGAATTTGAGGTAAAACTTCCCAGCCTGATGACTTCTGGGTTTATTTTGCTTTGTGGAGCTTTCTAAATTATGCTGGATGATTCCCTTTTAATCACCAAATCTGTTTCTTTCTTTTTATATTTACCTATATTCATATATGTGTGATTATATAGGTGTTCACATTGTCTGCAGAGGATATTTTCCAAGGCCCACAGTGAATGTTTGAAATCACGTAATGAAACTCCCACATACCATATTTTTCCTACACATAAAGTTTAATTTATAAATTGCGTGTCACAATAAGAGATTAACAATGATCACTGATTATGAAATATACTGTAATTAAATTTCTTTGACAGAAGAGTTGATCTTGTTGCAGAGTTTAGCATTGGAATTTTTACAATATATATGTGAATTACACTAAATTTTAACAAATAACCAGTCAATTCTCTATAAGATAACATGTGGTACATTTGTGCCCAGTATAAGAATTTAATGTTGATTATATGTGAATCCATAAACAACTTTATTTTTATATAGGTTGAACATTCAATGTGTTGAATTTTATAAGTGCATTTTTTTAGGCATGCTACAATATATGATCTCCTATATTGCATATGAGTTCTCATATAATCAACAAACAACCCTGAATTACATTGGCCACACATGCACTACACTCCCTCGTAGGTTGATTTGTCATTTGTCAAAATTTAGTGCAATTTGCACACACATACATGGTGCGATGGATAAATTGTCATCTAAATTACACAAAAATGAAAATAACACTGACATCTCATTTTAACAGGTATATTTACCAAAATTACACAAAAATATCTTGAAATATTAAAGTGTAAATTTATTTAATAAAATCACCATTGGCTTCAACCCTGGCCTCCAGATGACTTCGGAATCTACTCTAAGTTGGTGAAATCTGCTATAATACTTGCCTTCAGTTCATCTTTGGTGTTACAAGGAGTTGGTCTCTTGCTCAACTGCACCCCACTCATCAAGTGGGTTGTAGTCTAGGGAGTTAGGTGGCCAGATGTAAGGGGTGATGTGGTTGCAGAAATTTGTTTGAGAGGCATAACTGGGTTCTCCTGCTTGTGTGGCATGGTGCAGAGTTCTGTTACCAGACATAGGGTCTTCCAACAGCCACCCTCTTGACCCAGGGCAGCACTACCTCCTCAAACTTGATTGACTTGTAGAGATTGTTGTCAATCATGGCCTGGATCTCACCAATAAATTCAGTTCTTTTCTCATCAGAATGATCAGAATGCATTTTCCGAACTGCTGTACCTTTGTAATCACTATTAGAACTGATCCAACTCTTTCTGAATTCTCTGCACTGTCTTAAGATTGACACCCAAACACTCTGAAATGTTCATATTGGAGCTTCTGATGTAAATGCCAACTAGTACAGCATGCCATCTCCAAATTCTTGGCAGAGTGAATAATTGCTCTGATGGTGCTCTTTTTTTCATAGACTGATTCTACTTTATTGTGCAGACAACGAAATAAAAAGAACAAACATGCATATGTGAAATTAAAAATATAAAATTGGCGACAATTTACCCATCGCACCCTGTTAGTCACCTCCCCTCTCTCTCTATATATATATATATATAGGCTTATGGCCATATTACGCTGAAACACCAGTTTCTGTATGATCACTGAAGTTAAGCAGCATAGAACCTGGTCAGTACCTAGATGGGTTACTATAATATCACAGACTGAGTGTTGGTGTTAATAAAATAGTGCTTGTTGTCACATAACAGAGCTATAAATTATATATTAATAACAAATATACATTTTTCCTCACTGGTAACATGACTCTGAATTTCATGCAGAATGCAGTCTTCAGGTGCTGAGTTAAATTTTGATATATATATACTGGATTATTGTAGTAGTGGAGTAGTCCATATTATTTACAGGGAATGTAAAAAAAAAAAAAGAAAATTGTATTTAAAATAAACATAATTATAGAAAAAAAGCATATTATATAATATGTAGATGTGCCATGATGTTTGTGAGTAACTTTGTATTATTTTTAGAATTACTTGGATGTCTATTTAACTTCTGATCATACCTTTGTAACTTGATGTTATAAGTTGTGTGGATGTATGTTTTTACATTTTTTTCTATAATTATCTTTCTTTTAACTACAAATTTTTTTTATATAATTATGTTTATTTGGAAAATAAATAATTGTTAAAATAAATCTTACATTGTTTCATGTATATAGATAATACAAATTTTTTTCTTTTTAATTATTTCATCCCCAAGCAAGGCAATAAAGCCACTAAGACATGAGGGATTAATGAGTACAAGAGAATATGAGAAAAAAAAGACATTATTAAGGAGCGAAACAAAAGAACAAGAATTAGCAGGTGTATTTTTTCAGGTGAATATTGTGTCAAACAGGGTGATATATAAATAGATACAAACCATAATGTAGTATTTTTTGTAAATGTGTTTATTCTTATGTAAACATATATAATTTACATATGTAGATGTACCATGATGCTTGTGAGCAACTGTGTTATTTTTATAATTACTTAGATGTGTATTTAACTTATAATCCAACCATTATAACTTGATGTATATAAGTTGTGTGGATGTGTGTTTTTACACTTTTTTTTTATAATTATCTTTATTTTAAATACAAAATTAAATTTTTATTTTAACAATCCCCCAAAATAATATGAACTACTCCACTATTACGATAGACTGGTATACATATCAAAACTTAAATTTTGTCATGATCAGTCTTAACTCATCTGAAGATTGTGCAACTGGTGAAGAAAAAAATGTATATTTATCATTAATATATAATTTATATATATATATATATATATATATATATATATATATATATGCGCAAGATTCATTAAATATGACAGACAAGGTGCTTTAAGTTTTTTTTATATAATTTTTCATATGATCTTATAATTCACCTCTTTGATCAAGATTAAATAGAACAAATATTATTTATGAATTTAAATGTTCTGATCAATCAAAATTTGTAAACAATTATATTGGCCACACCACAAAATATTTAACAAAAAATCTTGTTACATCTTTCTGACCATACCTCAATTTAAATTAAATTAATTAATCTTATTTAAATACTACTGGACTCTATTTGCAGCATGCTTGTTGATAATATAAATATAACAGCATTGTCTATATGTAAAAAAAGGCTAAAAATAATGGAAGTCTTATTAATAAAAACAAAAAACCAACACTCAATAATATCAACTATGAGCATAGACACAATATGTTGACTGTGTTTTGAAAATAGAACATTCTATAATGCT